TATTTCGAACCTCGGATTTTTTACTTAATTAACCTATTAGTAAGACCAAGTGCATTTTAGGTTAAGCAATGGTTGACTGCGAAGATTTTTGCATAGCAGACAGTAACCTGGACTTTGCAGAAAGATACCCTGATGGTCTACCGATTTCCGAACTAGCGCCTTTTTATGAACTTATTTCTAAGAATCAGCCGCTTAAACTTGAATGGGTTTTGCCAAGGAAGAAGCTGCCCAGAGCTTCATTGAAAAAAAATAAAGGTAGGTGCTCATTTTTCAAATTGCGTTTATGTGCTACTATCCTTCCGCGAGCACCCATTTAATGGCTATTTTGGCATCTAGATGAGTCCTCTGATAATAAGCAGAAAACTTATCAGCAGACTTCGAATTCATCTATCTTCGCCAGCACTACTAAAGCGAATCCACTAGTCTCCGCAACGGAATTTGACAATTTTGACTTTGACTCAACAAGCACCGCCTCTTTGACGCTAAAGCCAGTAACTACTGTTGGCCGAAGTGGGCCCCCAACTCGTGAACGCCGTGTAGCCAACATGGATAAAATACTCACTGATCATTTTCGGAAGCAAAAAGAGGAGCGCCAACTCAAGCAACATCATCAACAATTAAAACAGCAAATGCTTATTCAACATCAACATCAGCCCATTGCGCCAGCTCCCCCCAAGCCTCCCTCTTCTGTATCCACAAATGGTTACAACCTTGAATCGGTGCCTCTTTTTGATTCTGGCATTCCTACTGGAAATAGCTTCAGTAGAGAGGGTTGCGTGGGTGAAACCTGTGGTATTGGCTCCTCCGCAACTGATTCAGTATCTCCCGATAATCAGGAGCAATTTAAGTCTGTGCCCTCATTTCAAAATATTGTTGAAAAAACGGATTATGATGTCCTGAACGCCTCAAGCACTTCCATCAATATCGAATTACACGGAGCACTACTAGCTGAACAAGCCGGCGATGAATGTATCCGTACTCCAAGTCATCCTGAAAATTTATTTTTGCAGGCTGAACAAGAAACACAAGGTGATGCGGAAATGATGCATACTAAACAACTACCTCAAGGTACTTCACAGCTAACTAATCCGAACTCCCTACAGACCACTATTGACCAAACTGTTCCCGTATCTGTTTCATTTATTGCAAATTCCTCCCTTCCCTTTGGCACCAGAATCCTTTCATCCGAATTTTCGCCCCAAATTACAGTAGCCCATTCACAACCGATCACAAGTTTTGATAATACTCAAGAGAAAATGAGCATAAATCTGCCTGATTCGACAGGCGAAGCAGTAACTCTTAGTGATTTTCTTAGTATTGGAGTTAATGAAAGTTCAGTTGCATTACCCACTATTTCCGTTGTGGATCAACAGTGTCTGCAAATGCAGCCTAGCGACATTGTACATACAAAGGTAACCATGGATGTTGACTCTTCGGAAAGTCTAAGTGCTACTTAGTTCTACGATATCCTAACTTTATTTAGAAATTAATTTATGACTGTACATAAAAGTTATACACAATACTTGTCTATTATTTCTATTTCGTCTACAGACTCCTTATCTATGCTCAGAAACCTTTTGTTTTTCCTTCTCTTCCTGGTAAGGTGCTTTCATTTTTGGTAATTCTTGCTAAATTTATCTGCTTCCAGTCTTCAGTTTATATTTTATTTTAGTTTTATAACTCTTTTATCTAA